CATCTTCATCACACGGGATTGGGCTCGGTGACACCTGGACCACCCGGTGGAAACGGTGGCGATAGTACAACATCGAGCACTCCCGTCTCACAAAGTGGAAAATCGGCATTCATCGAATTGCAACATAATAATCTGTATAATCCCGCCAGTCTACGTGGTGGTTATCCCGGAGGACACAATGTGCCTGGTGCTCATCAATTCCCGCATCAAGTCGGCGCGCTAAGTCACCAAACATCCGGACCAGGCAGTGGGAACCAGCAACACGCGGATGCAGGATTCCCCAGTCCTAGGTCCGCGCTAGCCGGATATCCGTTCGCGCCCATGCACCAGCATAACGCCTATGGATATCACCTGGGATCGTACGCGCCCCAGTGCCCCTCACCGCCCAAGGACGGTGAGTACCCTAACTGTATGTATTCGCAGCCTTTTTTATTCCTACTATTAGAATAAAGATAGTTAACTTAATTCTGTGCTCCTCGTTCCTTGGAAATCGGAGCCGATCTACGACGAAGACGGCGATGGTTGTACGTTGACAATCCAGTGAATCTTTTCTCTAATCTTGTTTGCAGCTGATCTTAAAAGTTACCAAAGTAGCTGACTTAAAAGCTTAAAGTGTGTATAAGAGGGATTTTCTACGAGTAATTCCTTGGAACGGAGAGCTGTTGGAAGGTTTACAGCGAAGCTTACTATACTATTTTCTAATAACCACACTGTCGAATAGTTTAAATTGATAGATTCGCTGTGAGTCTTTCAAAGCAAGTAGCAATTAGCATAGATTAGAATATAAAGTTTTTTAAGTAATAGAATATTTTCATAAACCATATCAACTAGAAATACCCTAAAGACTCGTTATCAGACGTATAATTATCGCTATTACTATATTCGATTGTGATACTTTTTCTGATAACGATGCTTTTAAATTTCCCAAGAGTCGGATGTCTGATCCCGGCGGTAGAATTCTACTTAAAACGCATTACACTCGTAACGTATTTCAACCGAATACTCGTTACAATTCCACGCATAATTCGTCGATAAGTACATAGAAGCGATGTTGCGATATTTTTAACACAAATTGGTAGTTCCATTATCTAATCCTGAAACGTTTCACATGTGGGAGGTCAGATAGTTGGAAATACATTATGGTTGCGCGTTCGCGTGGCGATCGGACGCCAAGTCAAAATCGTAAACTTCTTTCGTTGATTTCGCATCTGGCGAGGTAGGCGCTCGACGAAAAAAGAAACGAAAACGGAAGAGAGAATCTAGAGTAGCAGGTAGTGGATCGGTCGACGGCCTGGGCAGGCACAATAACGCCGAGAAACGGAATAAGATATACGACTAGGAAAGAGAATCCTCTTGGGATCCGAAAAAGTCCCGCAAAGCGGCTAACGAACGAAACAAAAAGCCCCCCGGCTGAATGAGAATAGTCGCGGCCTCCCTGTGTCCTCGAAAAGCGTCGCTAGATATTCAAGCAGTCAGATACGCAACTGTTCATCGTTTCTTTGCACATTTCCCCCGCCTTCTTCTTCGTGTGTTTTTTCCTCGTCAACTTCTTTGAAGTTCACGCGAGTTTTTACTGTATATTTCAATACAGTTAACTAAATTCCAATATATGCAATTGTGCATCATGCAATCATGCATCCACGTTTTCTTCATCTTGTCCTCTTTTTCTAGTTTATATTCACATATTGGCTAACGCCAAGCAATTAGATATATAAAGCTGCTTGTTATTTCGTTAAACATCTTTGCATTTCTCATCTTTGTCTTTTTTTTCTGATAAGATTTTACTTCCGTGAAACTGCAATTTGTTTCTCTCATAAATCATCTTGGCTCTCTAAAAAATTCACAGAAATTTTTATTCGATATGTAAATACAGGCAGTTGAAATACAAACAGTTAGATACACGTACATATTTTCACCTTCGTCTTATGTATGAAATTATTCACACACCAATGTGTTCAGAGAAAAGAAACATTCGCAAAATGTTTTTAATATTCTCGATCAATAATTACAAAGTCCTTTGTAATCAATTATTTTTAAATTCACACAATTTTCACCCTTACATGTAAAACTATTTAGCTACGGTTTACGAATTGCAAAATTAGTTTAGAGTACTCCGAATATTTTCAATCAGCAATTGCAAAATTCCATCAACTTCTTTCAAATCTTCCAAATTTTGTTATATATGTCGGAGACGAAAGGCCACCGGAGCCTCCCCTCTGCAACTTCGGGAACATCCGCAAGATTGTAATTAAAGTTTACAGTTGTAACTAAACAATTTGCCGTCAGTCTGCCCAATTGTACTTGTTGGCGATTGGTGATAATAAACTTGGGCTCAAGGCGATCATCAGCCGCCGAACGTAGCCGCGGTCAAAGGTATGGAGCGATAGTATGACTCTCATTAAAGGAAATACCCATAGAGGTATCTGACCATGCCAATGGTTCCTTCGAACAATGAATACCTGATATTGAGGCACGTACACAGCACAAATCCAGTTAGCCCGAGGACCCGCTATAAAACCTGGGTTTTTCCGGCAATTAAGATTTTTGCAAACGATCAGGCAGCTTGTGTCCCAAAATCGAACAATCGACAGCGACGTCGATCCGAGGATCTTGTGTACTTAGACACCCGACCAGAGTTTGTCTCGGTGGCGTCGCTGGGACGAAGATTCATTCCTTATTGAGACCTCATCGAGGAAGGAAATAGCGCCTTACCATCAGTACACGTTTAAGTTAGAGCAAGTATATCTATGCTCCCGTTGACCGCGGATTCGTTATCGAATCTGAGACCATTATCACTAGTGTCGCGAGTGCCTAATCGCCGCTGTTGATTGTCGAATCGGCAGTGTTCATGCTCGTAGTATCAGGCCGTACCGTCGTTATAACACAGCGATGGCCATCCCAATGGAGATCTAGCAAATGCCCACAACTCTATTCCTGACGCTTCTCTGACATATACAAAGGGAAACGTTCTATGAATTTCTCACCGTGTGCCGTGAAAGAAAAATCAGCATCGATTCCTCGCTAAGTAAGCTCGTCGTTACAACGATTGAAAAGAAATGATCAGCACGATGCGTCATTTTTAGAATTGTTGCTCGAAATACCAGTGGTATATCGTATCGCTTTGCTGATGAAGCTGTCAACCGCGAATCGGCGAACACGGCCGTCGATAGAAACGTGCAATATTTAGTTCTTTAGACGCGACGGTATTCCCGACACGGAAGACACTCGATAAAATCCTAAATTAATTGAAGAGGAATTTACACGAGTTTTTCCTTCTCTACGGGAACTCGCTATAGGCTTCTGTCTTTTCTGAAGGGGACAATCGGCAACCTCCCCTGCGAACCCTATCTATCGCGTAAATTAATAATGACCGATGGTTCTTCTTCCTTTCCACCTGTCTTTTACCGCCGCAAACGTGCACGTTCCAACGTTCCTGCATTATGGAAACCACGAGAGGTTCTCGCCTGTTTGGAACCACCCCTTCCGTAATTCGAAGCACTGGGATATCGGTTATAGGTAATCTTGAATCGGTGAGTTTGTCGAAAATTGCTAGGAGAGTAGGAAAAAAATAGATAAATATGGATAGAAAGGAAACGGTGAATCCCCCGATGGTGAAGTATATGAAAAAAGGGTTCGTCCCTCGAGATATTCGCACGTTGCACGATACGTTTACCCATCGTTGCATAGAAGAATCCAGTGAAACGATCGAGGGCTCTGACTCTCGGCAATTTCTTCTCCCTTCTTCCCTTTCCTCTCGATTTGGAAAATTGCGAATACTTGACCATCGATGGGAAGGAAGAAACGAACGTATTTTCCAAGGGTCCGTGATCGGTAATGGGCAAATGTTCTACGATGCGTTCTTTCGAATGGGTTCCACGATTCCACGGAATCGTTCAGATTATAGGTCATTTTCTCTCATTAGGATGACAATTTCTTCGTGCTCGGTTTTCATAAACCATTAGAACGGACCCCAGCAGGATAGAACTATGACGAGTTCGCGTAAGAACCGGATTAGCGTGGTAGAAAATTCTGCTCGAGGAGAGAGTTCGTCGTTGTGTTTCCAACGAATGGCGACAAATCGCGATTGCCGTGTCGTAACGTTATGTCTGCCTCCATTAACAGCGTTCTCAGAGAGTGGTTACGATAATGTAGAATTGATCTATCGAACGATAGCCACGTGTTGCTACGTCGATTATTGATTGCTCCGTCGATCCTCGTAGATCACTCGGTCATCGTAATGCTTTTTCTTTTTCTTAAGCCTTTTCCATTTTCTTCTTCGTTCTTATTGTCGTATTTTACGATTAAAGAAAGTTACACACGTTCTTCCGCGTGGTAACGCGCGATTTGTCGTAATTGTACAGCGATAATTGGTTAATTCGAACATATCGTGTGCCGATCGTTTGTGATTAATCATTACGAGAAGCTCGTTTACACGTGTGACAAATTGCGACGAAAGAATTTGCCCGTTGCTCTTTGCTGCTCGTAATCCTCTGCGAATCAGGCACGGAGCCTGATGAAAGCGATTGAATTAATTAAATAATAAATATCGTTTTAGAATCGCGATCGCGAGTTAATTACAAAGGAGCACGCTATTGTTTGCACATCCTCCTCGGGCTCTGGCCACCTGCCGCGTGTCGTTCCTTTCAACTACCTTTCTGGCAAAATACTTGACACTTCCAATTTAATACCCTTGTCAAATGTGCTTAGAGAAGAAGGAAATATATGAAATATTTGAATACCATTCCATCAACTTTATGCTACGAGTCACGTGTAACGTTTCGTAATTCACATTTAATAAGTTATTTTTAAAAGCTGTTCGTAGTTTAGCTGCATTTATATATTTCCATATGGAATGAAACTATAAAATCTATCTATGTCTGTTCTAAAATTGATCTTAATCTTTAATTCAACTACCGACATTGTGGATTATTCTCTTTTCACTTCTGTCAATGCATATACAATATACAAATTTTTCGTTTGAGCCTTTGTTTTCGAGAAAATCGACTTTGAATTTTTGCTCGGTACGCGTGCGGTACGTTATAACGGATCTCACTGTAGATCGTTGTCTCGATGGAAAAATTAAAAAAAAAAAAAGAAAATTGAAAAAAAAATTTTTATTCTATATTTTCGACTTCTTTTTTCGCGTAGAATCACCCCCTTTCCGCTTGTACCACCAGTTACCAACCACCCTGTATACACTGGCATCGCAGTTTTTCTTTTAATGCATTCAGCCTATATGTAGCAATATAAATTTTCAAGAAATACTTTTACAACTCTAAGTTCGTAACTCCTTCTACCGCTATCTCCTTTCGTTAATCGTAACTGTTAACTTTTTAATGTTATTTTATACTTTTTTCGATCTTCTTTTCCCAATTCCATTCCACTCCCATCTCATGCGAAAACATAAAAAACATCGATCAGAAATTGGACATCGGAACAGTCATATAACCAAGGAGGATTAATGAAGTCGTCCGAAACTTTACTTGCGACGACTTGTCAGAATCAAGAGAGTACGAAAGAAGGGACGATCTCGTATCGTGTACACAATCGTGTACCACCGTACCGATCTCATACTCGACAATGCGCAAACAGTGCACCGTTAGGTGGTAGCCGTATATCAACGAGCAATCTCATCGGTCGCGACAAATGAACCGTCCATTAACATCGTCCCTGGCCGAGCCTTCTTCTCGGTTTGGCCGTTGCCTTGTCATCGACGTTGAGCCCATCCATGTCGAGTCGCAACGAAGCAAACGATCCCGGGAACCAGAATCCAATTAGCGTGGCTACCTTTACCGAACTCTACATTAGTCACCGGGCCTGGCAGCGACCAACCACCGGTCAAATTAATCCGGAACGGTTCAAAGACAATGCGCCCTTTGGATAGAGAGTTCTGGGGTCTACGGCCAGGGTGATGGATTAGGTATTAAACGGTTGTTTTCACAAGGATTAGGAACACCGACCTGGAGCACTATTGGATCACCCGACAGATCTTCAAAGATGGAAATTCCAAGTTGCTCTATGGATGATGATGGCAGCGACGATGGATTTTCTTCTTCTTTCCCTTTTTCTCTTCTCGTAGGTTCGAAGATTTTGCACGGAAGTCGTGTTTTCTCTGGCTTAGATACATCCGTAGATATCGTGTGGCTGCCACTCAACCGGATCCTGGTTCGTCCCCCCAGCTGACAATGAGAAAAGTGGGGTTCGAATGGTCGTCACGCAAAGTGCACCGGTCGCGGCTAGCTGTTGCGATCGACGATAAACTATTCGTCTCTAACTCTGCTGTTTTTCCACTCGGACTTGACTTCGTATTCCATTGACAGGGTTAGAGCTGGACACAGAGAGACGTTGCGATTTTTTAGTGGCGATGGTGTGAGATTTGACAGATTTATTCGTCGAATAGCTGGATTGCATGGTCATGTGCATTGTGTTATTAGAAATACGAGGCTCGATACGGAGGAGTGGTTTTTTTCTCGTGAGAGTTTTTTTGCCAGGCATGCAACGTTAGCGAACAGAAAACAATGCACATATAGCGATATAATAACGCTCATTGTCGGACATGTGATAATATGTATGAGGATTCTTATTTTTTTCATTTTTCAACGAATATTTTTATCTTCGCAGATAATTCTGAAATTGGGAATTTTTTTTCATATATGATTTTCCTTTTCTGACCTTTGTCTACGGTATTACTGATAATTGTTTAAGGAATACATTTTTTTATATCTTATTTCATTTTTTCTATAGAAGTTAAGTAAAGGATTTCTGTTATGCTTACACAAATATTATTTTAAGTTTATCAGTGATTAGAAGTTATATATATTTTAGATTCAAAGTGTTCAGGCAATATCTATCAAATTTCGAAGTCACTTAAATTATCATAGACATCAATGTACATAAACGCAACTTTTTTAGTATTCAGCGAATTATACGTAAATCGCTAAAAATAGGAAAATTTGCACGTTACAGTCGAATATGTCTAAGCATATAGTAAATACAAATATGTTGAACTGCGCGCTTCCCGATTTTTATGCATCGCAAATTCGCGCGAAATTATTGCGAATGCGCTCACTCACATATATTTCCCTACGTAATCCAACACACTGCATTCACGCGACGAAACTCGCTCGTCTGTATCAAATCTTAGAAGCACAAACCCATCGAATTATACATCGTCGCCTGAGCGAAATCGCAACTGCGCCGCTCATCTGCATCGAGGCTTAGCACAGTTCTTTTCGATCCGTGACCAAACGATTTTTCACAGAAACTCGCGTAGAATCGTTGATCACTCGCGAAACGTTAACCTCTTGGTTCTGATGAATGGCGTATTAATTATATTTTACGGTATCGTGGTTGCTTTTATATCTGCATCGAGGATATATAGGACGATAAATTGCCTCTTCGAGAACGGTTATTCCCGGTGAAATAACAGGCAACCGCGGATCGATCGATCGCGTACACGCGAAAATCGGGAAGGGAACGCGCGCGTAAAGGAAACAGGGAACGCACGACCGCTCGCAAATGAGCCGCGCGAATTATGCTAAAGTAGTAGTTTCACCGCGACCGGAGCGGTTTTCAGCGACCGCTTTGCATACACCGTCGCGCTAATGACTCCGCGAGCTCTTGCAACGTACAAGCACTCCTGAGAAAAATGTATCGTAAAACCGTGCCTCTCCTTCGTTTCCCGATTTTTCTTACAGTTTTCACTGAACTTTATGCTTTTATGCACTTCTGTGCCACGATGTTGCATCATAGGTTGTGATTATCGCGGTGATTCATTCATAATCAATGAAATGATTGGCAATGTGTTTGGTATATGCATTATAGCGTAATTCACGATGTTTGTGCTTAGACGGATACTTATGTAAATTTGTATTTTTATGAAGATTCGATATAGAAATGCATTCTAAGTGGAGATTCTACTTTGGATATTTTCAATATTTTTGCATATTTCATGCATTTTAGACTGTCCATAAATGTACAAAAATTGGAAATCTAATGATAGAAATGGTAATTCTTATCGGTTTGGTGTGCAGTGTCAGTGTGTTCTAGTTTTATGTTTCTTGGGATTTATGGATAATCGATGATGAAATAGAAATTCTTTCGAGTACCGTTCCTTTTACCATATCGATATTTTCCCTGATTTTCAAACGAAAGAGGAAAGCATGAAGAAACTTTTGTAGATTTTCTAAGTTCATATTAAAATTGATAATAGGAAAGGAAAATTATTGCTTAGGTTCAAAAAATATAAACCTTTTCAAAAGCAGGTAATAAATCCATCGGAATAAAAGAAGTGCATATATAATTCCGAAATCAGATAGAACGAAAGCTCGATTACCATCATTCTCACAAAATATGCTACATTATAAATGTACCATGAACTTGCTTACCAGTAGTGGTTAACACGTTGAATTTAAAAATTGGAAATTTTAATTAATCGCGGCAAAAAGACAGTTTTTCTCAGTATTTAATTAAGCTACGATATTTTCCACAGAAACATAGTGCGTCCTATCAATAGCGCGTCGCTATATGTCAAAGACATTGCATAAAAATGCGTAAAGATAACGGGACGGCTATTATTCCTTTCGAAATGACACGTTATATTCGGCGACATCATGGCTCCACTGACCTGCCACGATAAAACACCGAATAAGCATTATCGCGTTCAACCTGACATAAAATCGTGTAGGTTAATGTATTCGACGATACCGGTCACGACAGCGCAAAAACGTCTCGTTAAACGAAGGACACCGCCTTCTGGAAGAATCCTTGCCGATGGAAAGACCCCGTAACTCCTCCTAACACGCGATTGCGTATCGTAAATATCCCGCCAAGTATGGTGTACGTACATATATAACCTGGCAAGAAAAGATCAAGTATAGCAGGGGTTGCTTGTTAATATCTGCCATTTTACGCGTAATCAAAATCTCCGTGTCGTTCCGCGATCGATCTTGAAACTCGTTGATCCACGGGTCAGTCTTCCACGCCCCCGTTACTGGTGACATGGCCAGCAATAAATCATAAAAATCATATCGTATGTATGTATACACGCGTCGTATGCATATCCAACTGATCGCTATAAATTTCATAAAGGTAGAAGATCGCGCGCAAGTAGTTAGAAATTTCGAATTACTAATTCAAAAGTTGGTAATTACAAGTTTTGTTATCAACCATGCCACGTTCGAGAATTTTCTGCTACACCTGTTCGATGGAGGCCATGTTGATGTATGTTTTACTATGCCGATTTTCATAGCATGCACACATAGACATGGTGAATTTTCCAGGATGACATTTCCTTGAACGCGCCGCATTAGGTGGAAAATGACAAGGCTGGCCTGTTTGGATTTCTAAATGACTGTGTTACGTTCAAGGATTCACACCGCGCGCCGTATTACGCTACATTGTAATTAGGGTATAAACATAATGGCGCGATCGTACGTACGATAGCGTTCGCCGGGCTGGCACGATGCGTTTATTTAGTCGGTGCGTAATTATTCGATGATTAATTTATAACAATTTTTTTTAATTAATTACACTATGGTTAGCACTCCGATATTGTTCGCCACGATAGCGATCACACGTGGCAAATTACACGAGATTAATCATGATTTATCGCGGCTACCTACGCCCGAACCTTTGTCGCGATCTTCGACAAGCCTTTCATCCTTTTCTTTCGATGTTATAATGCGTTCAACTAATTTCTCTTTCCATTCCTTCCGTTTTTTTCTCTTCCCACAAACGTCAACGAATCGTTTCGAATTTGGATCAGATAATTAAATCGTTCTATCGTTCTAAATGTATCATAAATCAAGTATCTGTCGAATAGTTCTGTTTAGGTTTTCGTTAAATTTCTCTTTAGTTCGTACACAATCGGTGATGAGGATTCTGAAAGTTGATGTTAGGGTGGTGCATGTTCGCAGACCTCTCGCCATTGGGTGACAAGGGTGGCAGTCTCGTCGACGAGCTCGGCGGTGGTGGCGGCGGTTCCTTGAGAAACGGTAAAGGCAAGAAGATGAGGAAACCACGGACGATCTATAGCAGCCTTCAGTTGCAACAGCTTAACAGGCGGTTCCAGAGAACGCAATATCTCGCGCTACCAGAAAGAGCGGAGCTCGCGGCGAGTCTTGGACTAACGCAAACCCAGGTAAGTGTTATATTTCTTTTTATTTTTTTGTCGTGCTTGTTTCTTTAATTCTTCTTTCTTTTCGCGATCAATTTTCTCTCACGGAAGTACTAATACGACGTACGTTGTTCTCACGTACAACGAAATTCACGTGCACTACATCGTCGGTGGGATGATGAACGCTGCACTCGTCACGCGAATCAACACGGGGCTTACGTTGTTCCGTGACTCTTACACCTGGAATCCACTGCGTTTTCACGTTATCTCCTGGCAATTAAGCGAGGTTTCCATGAAAATTTCATTCGGTACGCGTTCAGCTTCGTATGGCAAGAAAATTCCTCTAAGAGCGCTCGTAATATCCTCGGATGTTGCATTAAGATAGAGGAAGGCGCGGAAAATTTCTGGTATAATCCCTGAGAATCACTGCAAATGTTGGTTTAAATTAATTTAATTTGTATAAGATATTCTTCTTCAGTGGATTTTTACCGCGTGTATTTACCGAACAGATTGTCATGGCTTGTCTGCATTCTTCGAATTGTACAATTGTGCATTCTGAATCGCTGAAATAAATTGCATTCCATGAAGGAAACTGACCAGCTTTGAATTCTTAAAGTATGATTAGTTCACGAGTCGTGCAGATTTAATTTAATCCACGTGCTAAAGACACGTTCCGTATTCTCCCCCCGAATCTTCCCATATCGAAACTTTTCCACAATCTTACAATTGTATATAATTCAACAATTTTTCTATCTGCAAAATATTTTACCCCCCGATATACACGAAAGGCAATCTTTCACGTTTCACATTTTCCGACCTGACTCTTCCAAAATTGCATTCGATATCAGAAGCTACAATCTTATTAATTTATAATCTTCAAGCGCAGCTCAAATTTTTCCAATAATACTCCGCTAATAGAATTCTTGTACTTTTTAATTAATCCATATACGTTGTCTTTTTTTCAAACTTCCGTGTAATATTCACAAGTGACAGCTACGTGTCGTATGCCTTTTAATCTCCCAAAATTGCATTCTAAATTCGAAACTATAGTTATCTTCAAACGCGGTACGATATTTTCCGCGAAGCTTTACTAGTAAAACCCTTCTATTTTTATAATTAACCCACGTGTGCAACTTTTCTTCAAATTTCCGCGCGGTATCCACGAAACATAGTCATGTTTCGCGTCCACCCCTCGAAACCACGAGAAGATCCTGTTGCACGGAGAGTCCAGGGTAACAGGACTCTCGATGGACGGCATCTGTCAGCATTATCGGCACAAATGACTTTACTAAATCACCGATCCGCCACGCCCTGGACACCGGGAGGATAGGGTTGCCAGTACTAACGTGCAGCGTATCGGCAACAGGGAGAAAATCAGCCGCGAGACACTAACGAGAAGATCATAAATAATTCCAGTAGCCGGACGATCGTGAAGTTTTTTAGTTTTTCACGGTGGACATCGGTACTGGCTTTCCGCTAATTATCCGGTTTGGTTTCCAATTAACGATTTATTAGGCTGAACCTATGGTCAAAAGCTAATTGACGCTGGTCTCTTCGAAGTCATGAATTTCTTGCGGATAATCCCACGACTCCCAATTAACGATTTATTAGACCGCAATAGCGCCTTCGAGCTAATTGAAACGAACCGTACCCGCTTGCGAAATCTTAATTTCGATATATCTCTGATCACGATTTATGCGCTATGTCGGCAATGTACTCGATTAAAGCTGCATTCGTGATTTTGCGAAATCCTTCAAGTTTTGTCAGTTTTACGACTCTTCGATTGAATCCGGTTACCCTAATTAAGTTTTGACTACTTTCGACTGGAAAAAGAAGCGAATCGAGGGAAAATTCCTTCAACTGCGTTTATCAATGCCATATAGATGGTGCGAGATTATAGTGATCAGCTCCGCAGTGATTGATTGTTACGATTAATTCATGTGGAAGGTTTGAGTTATCGTAAAAATCATGGAAGAATCTTTTTCTCGTTATTCAATTATTTATAAGACTATTATTTCTCCCCTGTTTCAATTACCAGACTTTTTGTATTATTACGCATAATTTTCTTAGAATATTCTCAAAAATTTCCCTGTGAAATCGGATGTATCGGTATTGCTCGTTGATTTACGCATTCCCTGCCAGTGACGTATACGTTGCGCCGTCTCATTTATCTAAAATTAATCTACTAGATTCTAAAAAATAACCACTAATTCAATCATTGGATTTTTTGAGGCTAGATATTGATGAAGATTTTTAACACAAAAGTTAACAGAAAAAGAAACAAAACATTAAACCGTGCAATTGAAACAAATATAATTAATTACATCAAACATACCAGAGATAACTAAGGAAAGACGTTTGATAAAAAGTGTGTGCAGCTTCCGCAGAGAAATAGCAACATGTACTTTAGATACAATCAGTGCGTTAAACTATGATTTATTGGTCGTATATATTAAGTATGTCAAATAATAGCCCTGATTTCACAATGGAAATTGACCCCAAATTGATTTATTTGTATTTAGCCCCCCCCTTCCTTCCCCGGGGGTTCAATAGATGTCAAAAGGCTAGAGGTTTTCTCATAGGTACACACATCGTGATACGTAACTGCGTATCGCGTAATCACGGGATAACTGGCTGTCGTAGGTTGCTGATGTCGTTGCAGGGGGTCCCGGACCGGATAATTTCATTAGTCTGAGCTCCGCGGGAGTTATTCCCCTTTCTCCTTCTGCCAGAGAATCGAGCTCGACGCAGGCTGATGAGTAATCGCGGCACCGTGTCAGGTTGTTTGCAAAATAACACGGAACAGAGCATTCCGACTGGTTGACTTTCAACAGAAGACTCTAGAATCGGAATTTTCCATTTCTGAATTCAATCTGTTACTTTGAGGGAGAACTAGAAAGTCTTGAGTTATCCATAATTCGTTTGCACTGTCACAAAATTTGACGCGTAAAGAAGAATGTCAATATTTTCCTCTTATAAGAAATATGAAAAGTATAATTCAAAGGAGGAAATCGCTGGCAAAAATGATTAATCGTCACCGTATCTAAATTCACGGAATTCTTAAGTTTCTTCGATATTATTCACGTTTCACTTCTCCTGTTTATATGAGGTCAGCTTCTAATACAAAGCTTCCGAGTCTTTAAGCGCAATTCAACGTGCGAAATTTGTGAAGGAAATTAACACAGTGATTTCTACATTCATCGAATCGAAATTCACAGAATTATTAAATTTTATATAGCTCTTCCTAGCATTTCTTCGGTATTGCCCATATTTCGCCCCTTTCTTTCATCATAAGAGTACATTCCACTACAAAGCTTCTGATTCTTGAACTGTACTTTAAGAAGAAAAATTCCTGAGAAAATGATCGATCGATAAAATTACTGTATTAAACAACGATCTATCCTCGTCAATCTAAATTCTCAGAATTCTCAAGTTTAGCGAAGGTACGTACCTATTTCTAAAGCTTCTTCAATATCTTTCTCTATTTTCTACTATTTCTTTTCCACACAAGGGTAGTTTCCATTGCGATGCTTCGTGAATCATACTCGATGCAACATCTTCGACCAAGTCTCCGCGGCACCGCGGTAGCTGATCCCGACGAAGCTTACGGCCGATGCATCTCTTCAGGGTGTACCGTGTATAATCTGTAATCGGCCAATCAAGGCGTTCGAGCAAGCGCCTGTGCCTGCTCCGTTGGCCCTGCTACCGTCGCATCGGGTTTCTTGTCATCGCCAGCAACATGGCGCCTACAGAGCCTTCAGAGACTCTTCCATCTTCCCTTCGTTGCTGGTCTCCTCCTCCTCGCTTCGAAACCGCTTCGTCTCTTTGTATCTCTTTCCCTCTGTGTCGTCCCTTCTTCGACATCTTCTTATCCGCGCCTTTCCCTCCCTCTCCCTTCCTTCCTTCTTCTCGGTTGCCCTTTGGTTTGCTCGTGGTGTTCAACTTCGCCACGGAAAACGACGAAGACGATACGAAAAGAAGAAGAAGAAAGAACGGTGGAGGAGATCTGAACCAGAGAAGTGAGGCCACGCATCTCTTTTTCTTCGAGACTTCAATTTGAGGACGTGGTAGCGCGTTCGTGCCGCTGTGCTGCTACACCGACAGAGAGAAAGAGAAAGAAAGAAAGCAGGCAATAAGGATAGAGAGTACTTGTACACGCGAAGTACACATCGTCGCGGGCAGGAACGTGTACGTGCAAAGGGGATAGACACGTAGACGCGGCTACATAGGTACCAACACGACCGTCTGCGTTCCTGCCACGTACCTTGGGCGTGGTGGTTCCTTTTTCTTCGTCTTCGCCGACCAACGTGGTCGATCTCTCCTCATTGGCCCTGGGAATGCCAACGCGTCGAAACGAGATTCGAAAGTCGCGCACACCAAGGGAAGAACCGCACGCCGAGTGAATTCGAAATCTGAATGTTCCGAAGTACGTTTACCCCCGAAGATTCGAGGTATCCAGGGTACACCCAACCTTCGCTCAATATTCGTCCAAAATTCACTCAACAGTCATTCAAAGGTTCGTTCAATGTGCGCATCTAATGTGCGAATTTCACCTAAGAATTTCATCCACAGTTTGTCTAATATTCAGTTGTTTACAATACTTATCCAAGATTTACTTAAAATTCACTTAGAGGTTTATTCAATGTTCTGAAACTAACGCTGCTGAAAAAGTTTGACCAATGTTCCGACCAATCATCCGAAGTTCGTCTAATACCCAAGGTCTCATTCAAAATTCATTCCAAAATTCACTCGAAACTCGTGCAAAGCTTTGTCCAATATTCACAAAATATTCAGCCATGGTTTTATTCAATGTTCATTTAAATGTATGTTTAGCCGATATTCTGAAAATATTCTATCAAGGTTTACGTAAGGTTTCCTTAAGGGTGTCTAACACGCTTCGCAAGTTCCAGCACCTCTCTAAGTGGCCATCGAAAGCTACGCACCGGTGGATCATCCTCTATACTTCCTGTTATTTATTATTGAAAGGGGCATGAAAGACGTAGATAGTACTCGATATCGATATT